GGGAGGTCACTGCCAGTCCCTGCTAGTTCGGTCAAGTGACACAACTGTCCCTGGCGAACCTCTTTCCCCACACCAGTGACGCAAGGCCAGTGGTGGGCTCTCAAGCAGGAGCGCCTTTCCTGACCTCTGTGCCCATGACAGTGCCTTGCCTGTGATGCCATCCAGCCACTGCCTGCTTTCAAGAGAAACCTGGGGCTGGGCCCTTTTCTGTTCCTGGACAGCCAAGCAGACACAGCCCCCCCGCCGGCATGCGAAGCCACAAGGCCAGTGGTTGAACATGTAGGTCATTTCATGTGGAGAGGTCTGCAAGGGGCCTGGGTGGCTCAGTGGGCTGAGTGTCCATCTAGCTCTTAATTTCGGCTCAGGTCACGATCTCAGGGTGTGACATGGAGCCTCATGCTGGGCTCTGTGCTCAGAGGGGAGACTGCTGGAGACTCTGTGCCTCTGCCCCTCTCCAAAATAAAGTCTTTAAAAAAAAATTAAAGGGATTTATACCCCTTTGGTTTAGAAGTACTTAGCTGAGATGTCCCAATTCCTGGGGACAACACCCCATCTCCAGGTGAGCATGAGCACAGAGCAGTGGTCTAGCCCTGCCCCTGTACCCTGGTCTTGCAGGTGTGGGCCCCAGTGAAGCAGGCTGAAGACAGTCCAAGGCGGCCACAGGGCACACCTCCCCCGGACAACCTCCTGCAGGGGAACAGATGACCGCCATCTCGCCCCACAAACACCCTCCAGCCCAGCCTCTGGTAATTCTGGGAGGGGAGTGCAACAGGGCACTGCCGCCATTCCTGGGGAGACTCGGGCCACACCAGGTGACAGTAACAAACGGAGTTGCAGTAGCCGGCCAACAAGCCGGAAAAAAAAAGAATGAATCCGTAAGCCTCACTCCTTGTATGTAATTTACATGCTTCCAAGACTGCCTGGCTGGCTCAGTTGGAAGCGCAGGTGACTCTTGATCTCCAGGCCACGAGTTCAAGCCCCACATTGGGTGTACAGCTCACTTAAAAAAAATAATAATAAAAATAAATCAACTCTACAAAAGGTACATGGGTTCTAGAAAAACCACAGAAGTGTGTCTTTATACTCTTTTAAGGTGAAGAAAGCATGTAAAAACATGCCCACATATCCCAGAAACCATTAGAAATAAATCTTTTTTTTTTTTTTTTTAAAGATTTCATTTATTTATTTGACAGACAGAGATCACAAGTAGGCAGAGAGGCAGGCAGAGAGGCCGAGCAGAGAGCCTGATGCGGGGCTCGATCCCAGGACTCTGGGATCATGACCTGAGCCGAAGGCAGGGGCCTTAACCCACTGAGCCACCCAGGCGTACCAGAAATAAATATTTTAAAAAAGGATGAAACAACACTGAAATGCTTCTGTATGGAATCCACTTGTCCTCTGCCCCAGATGAAAGACAAATGCTAACCAGAGAAAGTACTTGCCTCAAATCACCCAAGCTGATCCTCAGCTTTCAGATGGTGAGAGAAAGGCTGTGCAACTTCCAGAAGAGGCCTGAAGGACGTCCTGCCCCACGTGCTGCTGGAACACCACGGGGACAGCAGGCACTCCACAGGCCGGACTCTCCCCTCAGGAGTGACTGTACAAGGACACCGTTTACAGGCATCCGCAGAAGTGCTATCCAGAATACAGAGCACTCTGTATGATGGAACGTTCTATAAGATGATCAGTAAGGGACATATTAAATCTCTAGAACAAAATAACACAGCTATAAAAACTTATGTACAGGCCGCCTGGGTGGCTCAGGCAGCTAGGTGTCTCCCTTTAGCTCAGGTCACGATCCTGGGGACCCAGAATCGAGTCCCTAGTCAGCTCCCTGCTCAGCAGGGAGCCTGCTTCTCCCTCTTGCTCTAACCCTCACTACTGCTGTCCCGCTTTCAAATAAGTAAAATCTTAAAAAACAAAAACAAAACCTCTCACACACCTACAATCACAGCCACGAGTTGACGTCTGAGTGAAAACCCACTTCTGAAGTCCGAAGAAGGGCGCCTGGGTGGCTCAGTGGGTTAAAGCCTCTGCCTTAGGCTTGGGTCATGATCCCAGGGTCCTGGGATCAAGCCCTGCATCGGGCTCTCTGCTCAGCGGGAAGCCTGCTTCCTCCTCTCTCTCTGCCTACTTGTGATTTCTATCTGTCAAATAAATGAATAAAAAATGAAGTCCGCAGAAGAAGGGAGAGGGGCGCCTGGGTGGCTCAGTGGGTTAAAGCCTCTGCCTTCAGCTCAGGTCGTGATCTCGGGGTCCTGGGATCGAGTCCCGCATCGGGCTCTCTGCTCGGCAGGGAGCCTGCTTCCTCCTCTCTCTGCTTTCCTCTCTGCCTACTTGTGATCTGTCTCTGTCAAAGAAATAAATAAAATCTTAAAAAAAAAAAAAAAAAGAAGAAGAAGGGAGAGCACCGTCCCGTCACATCACACGTTCTCTGCAGCCCTGTAGGAGCTCAGCTGTCTGGAGAGGCTTTGGGCACGAATGGGAGCAGCTTCCGGCGCCCGGTGGTGGAAGTGCAGAGGAGTTTCCCCTATACTTTAAAAATACACTGATTTCTTTTCTTACAATGAACGTTGATCGTGTTAACAGAGATTTTTTTTCCCGTTTTCCTGTAACAAAGAGATGGAACTTTTGTCTACACCTCTGGACAAAAATCCCATGTTTCTTGAAGGATTTAGGTAGGAGCTGGGGTTGGGGGGGGGGGGCGCGCCATTTATCCACAGGCCCCCCCCCCCCCCTTTTCCAGCAAAGCAGTGCACCAGCATTCTGAGCAAATGCCTGTAAGAGCTGCATGCCCTTCATCTGGAACGATGTGACCTGGATGCTTTCTATTTTCTCCTGACACAGGTCACTAAGGCTGCAGATCTCTACAAAGGATCCTCTGCTATGATAAACAAAGACAACCAACTGTTTTTTGAAATTTTTATTTGGTGTTAACTCCACAAGAAAACAAAAAAATCAGTTACTCTGGTGTACGTGAAATCAGAACAATACAACCACGGGGAAAAAAATCTCAGCCCAGGAATGGAACACGGGTACTTCAGTGCTATGGATATGCAAATGCGCGTCATACCACAGTGCGTCTCAGCGTTTTGCCAACTTTTTAAAAAATGCTTTTTCTTTGTGATCATCCATTCACAAAACTAAAAACCACACTTTCAACTCTGTTGCTGAAAGCCTCTGGACTTCAGCCATTTAGCTATGAAAACAAATAAATACACAATCTGTTAATCCCCTTGCCCATTTTATAATCCATCCCGGTTCCCCCGTGGAAGGTGCACTGTCCTCCCGCCAGTGCATGAGGAAGTTGGCACCTCGGCCACCTGGAGCCCTGTCTTGATAAAAAGCAGCTGTCCAAAATCAACTGAGCTAAAGGTTGTATCTGAAATATATTTATTTGGTCTCTGCTACATAAGCAACGATTTCTAGAATGATCGTCACTGTAGTGATTTTAGGAATTTACAACTTCCAATTCTTTTTTGCCTTTGCTGTTAAATTATATTTCAGTGCAGATGCTAATCACTTTTTAGGAAGCTCTGGAAGAAAGAAAAATACATAAAACCTTATAAAGTCTGTAAATAAATAACAGCAACATAAACCTTACATGCACACACACACCCCTGCACACGTACACGCACACATGCGCGTGTGCGCTCGCGCACACACACACACACACACACACACGCACACGCACACTTTTTAAAGTGTCATTAGATGTGCCAAGTACGAACAAGCCCTGGCGTGTGGTGAGACCCCAGCCCGCCGTCTGCTGGGTTTCTCCCAGCGAGGACACCGAAGCCGGGGCGGCTCTGCAGCCCTGGAGTCATCTGTGTCCTCAGTTACAAGCAGGCAACTGCACCTGCGGCTCGGAGCAAACCAGGGATCTCCCAGCCACTCCAGCTCCCAGCTAGCGAAGTGCAAGTGTGCACCGCCTGCCAAGACTCACGGTGAAGCTGTCTCGTCCACGCCAGACTTCTCTGCCATTCTTGGTGTTATGGGCACGCTAAACTGATTTTACACATTAGGTTTTGTTTGTTTGTTTTTTAAATAGAAAAACAATTTGGTTTTACAACACTGCTCCTCGTAGCTTCACCTGCTGCCCACCGGCGTGAAAACTCGAGGTGGCGGCCATCCTGAGTGGACAGGACTTGGAGGAGACGGACTGACTGCTCAGCCCCCACGGAGAGCGGGAAGCGAGTCCCATGAAACCATCACAAAGGTCTGGGAGAAAGGACGTCTCTGCCCGCCCCCAACCCACCACACAGAACTTGCCCAGAACATTCTCGCCAACACAAAATGAAATCTAAGCTCTACTCGATCACAGCCATGACAGCGGCTAGCTGCAGCAGCCAGGGCTTCTCTGGGGTGACGAGGCGGCCTGTACTGCATATCAGACGTTTATAATTTGGAGTTCTGGAGGCTTCGATTCAATGGAGGTCACCAGAAAATCATGATCTGCAACTAAGACCCTCACCACAAATAACCCTGAAGGGCGTTTGGCGCAAAAGTCACCACAACGTCAAACAGGCCAGGGGTGCGCCCTTGCCCCGCTCTGCCTCCACTGCTACCCCGCACCTCAAAGCCTTGGCTCCTCCAGTTAGCAAGAAAGTCACAAACCATAGTATCTTCCATGATACTCGAGGGGGGAGAATCCTAAGAGAGAAAACAGTATTTTGTAAGTCTCTAAAAGCACACCCTTGTGGCTCCTATGGCAAATGTACACGAGAGCGGACCTTGTGAAGCCCGTGGACGAGTCACCCATGCTTCCCTCTTGCCTTGAGAAAGACCCCGATCCATGGCAGGGGTGGGTGTTATATCCCAGTTCTGAGAGAACAAAGCCTAAAGGTTTCAAAGCTCAAGTCTCTGGAGAGCGGCAGCAGCCGCAGACACCGCGGCGCTAAGGTGACAGTGACCGGGCTGCAGCTGGAAGGACAGACAGCAACTGTGGTCAAGATGTGGAAAGCAGGGTTGCTTCTAGACAAGCACATGCACACCCATTCTTGATTTGACAACACAATCTAGTCTATTTCAGATAGCCAAGAATTCAACAGCTTGGAAAACAAAAAAATCTTCAACAGGATAGCTGTCCTCAACTCTAAAATAAGCAAGAAGAGAAAGATAATTGCTGATCTGAATCAGTTAATTGAAGAAGAAACCTAAGTTGTTGCTTTAGATTAACAGGCCTCACAAAAGGGTATTTGCCATCACATATCGCTCTCAAAAAATAATTTGTACTACGCTGCAGGATTAGAGATGAGTTCGAGAAAAGAGCTCTTCTTCGCCAGGGTCCACCCACTCGCCTCCGCCCTCCGAGCCGGAGCCCTCCGAGCCGGAGCTGGCGCTGGAGTAGATCTTTCTGCGGAAGCCGCTGGGTTTTGCTCCGGCACCTCTCTCTCCCGCACACCTTGCTTCATAAACAGAAGACACCTGGGATGAAAGAAACAGTTTTCAACAGATCAAAAGCCAGACTTTTCCCCCAAAGGGCAACATGACACACTCCCGACATACAGAGGGCAAACAGCAAACCGCCGGCTTCCTGGGGAGACCCGCAGGTGACGAAGAGCTGCACTGCTTTGGGGCAAAAAACCATCACACTCTCCTCTGCAGTCCGGAGAGCGGCCAAAAGGCTGATTCTGTATGTTGAGTCCCTGGGACAAAACGTTCCAAGTGTGAGGACTGACTGCACAAGCCAAGGTATGAGGGCCGCCCCGCTGGGGGCTGGGCCGAGCCCCGGGAACCCGGGGAGGTCGGCGCGGCCGTGTTGTCCCCGGGCTCACATTCTGGGAGAGGCCACGGCAAGCTGACCAAGCAACAGCACGGCACGCCGCGGTTTTTGTAAATGGGGTGCTGCAGCCGCCAGGCGAGGCACGGGCAGGGGACACACACACACACACACACACACTCTCTCTTTCTCTCTCTGACAGCTGTGGCAGGGGAGGCCCTTCTGAAAAGCGTCCTCACCTGAAGGCCGAGAAGCACGCCTTGTGTAAGGAACAGCCAGAGCTTTCCTGGGGGCCGGGCTTCAGAAACCGGAGTTCTAAAAACTCTCTATTGTGTGGGACTGTCCCCCACACACCAGATGGTCAGCATCTCTGTCCCCCAGGACACTGACTGCAAATGGCAGCCCCTCCCTAGTCACAGCAACTACCAATGCTCCCCGAACCCCGTCAGACAATGAGTGACACCACCCTCCCTCCCCACGGCCACCTGAAATGCCACCCCCCCACCCCACCCCGAGGTGATCAGCAAAGCTCCCGTCCCTCAGTGGCCAGAACCAAGCCGCCCCCAACGGCCAGTTATAGTAACCAGCGACATCCTGCCGCCTCTCCAAGTCACAGTAACGAGCAACGCCCACCCCCCCTCCCCCACAGTAACCAGCACACCCCCAGTCACAGTAGCTAGCAATGCCCCTCTCCAACAGTAACCACCCCCCCATCATACTAGCTAGCAGTACCCCTTCCCCAGTCACAAGAACCCCCATCACAGAACCCAGGACCACCCCCCTCCTCAGAGTAGCCAGCACCCCCCATTTCCAAATGGCAGCACTGTCCCTGGTTGGGACCCCTGAGGCAGCAGCAGAAGACAGCCACAAGGAAGGACAGGAGAAGAGAGGATGTGAGGCCAGAGGCACATGAGGGCAGAGCATGACAGGGCCTTTTTCTGGGCAAGGCGCAGGGACATAAGGCCATTCTGGTTAGGAGCAGGCGTGGCTGAGTCCCAGCGGAGGCTCGAGGCTCAGGTCTGCACTCTGCAGTGAGGCTGCATAGCCTCAGACAGGACGTCCCGAGTCTGTGCAGAATGGCATAGGGACAGCCCCCCCATCAGGCGTCGTGAGGAGCAGCGAGGGAGTGCTCAGCCTGGACAGGGTGCAGGAGGTGGGAGAAGGGGAGAGTGGGGTGGTCAGGGCCAGGGGCCAGAGAGTGGCTCCCAGGCATGGGTGTGGCGGTGGGGGTGCCACAGGGCACCCCCCACAGAGGTGGGAAAGATAGGACCACGGGTGCCAACACCCTAGGGTGCCCTGGGGGAAAAGTCCTCACAGGACAGCGCTGACACAGAAAAGAGACACGTGTCCTTATTCACCCACCTGCCTGCCTAGCGGGAGCTCACAGGCCTGGTGGGGAGGCAGTGCTACAGAAACCAAAAGCAGCCCGGGGTCAGGGCTGAGGCCAGAGTGCCACACAGGGCATGGTGAGGGCAGAGGAAGGTGGGGTCCATCCCTGGAGCTCACCAGAAGGGTCTCCCGGTGCTGCCCACCCAAGGGCTTCTGGGGGAGTGCCAAAGTCCAACTGGTAGGCAGGAATTACCAGTGGCAGCACTGGGAACGACAGACTGGGGGTAGTGAGGGCAGGAGTGTGGGAAGCCTTGGTAGTAAGCGGACAAGGTGGGAGGAGATGAAGGTGGGGACTGAGGGCCTGGGAGCTGGGTCACCCGGGACTGGCAGGGGAGTTGGGGGGAGCTCCCAGGGCTCCCAGGCTCCAGCCTGAGTGGCAAGGAGATGTGGCTGTTAGTAAGTTAGTAAGGAGGAGGACAGTCCACTTACCCTATTAAAATCTAACAGACGCTCTTCGTTACTGGGTATGTCTTTACCATCTGGACACTCTTCTATACCATTCTCTCCCTTGGCATTTGTATAACAGTCTTAATCATTTTGAATGGAGAAGGGAAAAGAGGGAAAGGGGGGGAAATTTCATTAAGACACAGTTATGAAACATACATTTTTGTTTCATTTTTTGCTGAGTCAGATCAGTTAGGTCTACCAACCCTCTGCAGAGTTTAAGCAGTCACTAAAAGCAGACATGCGCACACCAGCCAGCCAGGTGTGCACGAGCAAAATGCTACGTCCATTTAAAAATTCTAGTAAACTGTTTATCGAGTTTTTAAAAGATAGGCTGGCATAACCAGACATGCCTATTATCCCAGCATGAGACAATCATTCAACAAAGCACAAATTCACACCTGTACTAGGGTAAGCCCTGGAACACAGGATAAAGACCAACAAGGCCTGAGCTCTCACAAGCGTACGGAGTGCAGAGGGAGACAGACGATGCGGTGCGTGTGTGTTCATCTAACAAATGAACAAAGGGGCTTCCGACAGGAGGAGTGCAGTGGGAAAGACAGAACGGCGACCACCTTGTCTGTTCCCTCTCAAGCCAACATCACGCTAAAGCTCACCTGCCCTGTATCTGCAGGACAGGGAGGAGAAAGGAGGCTTGTGGTCTGAGTAGGCAAGCAGCCCACAGAAGAGGATGGAACTGGAAGATGGAATTAGAAGGAATCAAACAGATCATTTAGGCCAAAGTTCTCAGCCCTGGGAGCTTGAAGCCCAGCCCACCAGCCCAGGCCCCTGCCTGAGATCCTGATGGATCTGGGCAGGGCCAGGGGGTTCTGATGCGCAGCCATGGCTGACCACTGCCAGTCTCAATCCAGACCAGCGCCCCCACACAGCTGCGGACACACAGTGACGAGAGAGGAGACAGCTGGTAGGCCCAGGGCAGACCCTGGCTTGAAATCACCATGTGCAAGTCCTGTAATGCCCCCAGTGGAGCATGTTTCCTGTTGACTGTGGTCCAGTTACCACGAGGAGTTCAAGGAGATGACATGCTCCCCATGCGTGACATGGAAGCAGACAGGACTGATGCTCAGTGACCGCTGTGCCCTTGTACCACTGGGAGTGGGCCACATCACATTCTCCATGACCTTTAGCTCTCTCTGCCTGCCTCAGGACCTTGAAGTCACCAGCTCAGGTTCACGAAAATAACCCGGACACCGGGACTACACCCACGTGAGCGGACCCCTGCTTCTGCACTCACCTGCGATGTAACTGGCTCTCTTTGAGCCCTGGCTCCCTCAGCTCTAAAACAGAGTCACCATCTGCCCGCCTGGGGTCCTGTGCACAGCAGAAGAGGTGACGCGCGGGCAGCCTCAAGAACGGCGCTGGCATGCCGGCTGGTGAACCAACACCCTGGCCAGCTCGCCCACTCAGCCCACCTGACCAGGCACTATGGGCCCCATGCACCCCATCAGTTCATCACCACAGGAACGGTAACGGTCTCCTGGACTAGGATATGCCCTGGGTGGAGCCGGAGTCAGTCATCCCTGACACCTGCACTTCCCGGCCCCGCTGTCAGGATTCTGTATGTACAAAAGGAGCTCGTGACACCACAGGTGTCAGGAATGGGCAGTGGTGACTGTGGACAATGTTCTTTGTGATCTGCCCATGGACGGCTCCAGTGTTCCAGGTCAGGACCACGTGCCAGGGCTGTGCTATGCACGTTACTTCTCAGAAGTACCCCCTCGGGGAGGAACTATCGTTAGCCCCTTTCTACAAACACAAACAATGGAGACACAGGAGGTCTGGTCACTGCCCCCAGGTCTACCAGCTGGCCACTGGAGGCCCTGGGCTCCAGCTCCGTTCTGTCTCCTGAACCCTTAACTGTTATCTGTATGGTTTCCCTGCAGGGCTTCCTCCAGAAGACTGAGAGAACACCCACACACTTACAATGAACGAGCCTTCCAAAGGTTCAGAATTCAGTGCATGAGCTCTCGAGACCACCACTCAGGACAGACCCGTCATGGCTTGGGGTGCACAAGGCCCTCGTGCTCTGGCTGCTGGCTTCCGGCAGACCATGTCCCCACCACGCTCTCACATTGCTCCTCTCTGCCAGGCACACTGGGGTACATCAAGCGCATCCTGCTCCAGCGCCAGCCAGAGCTGCTGCCCGGACACTTCCCACTGCAGGTGGCCCCCACTGTCACAGGGCTCATGTCCTCACTCCCTGTGCTGGTGCTGGGATGTGAGCTCATCAGGAGGGTCCCCAGGGCCTGGCACAAGGCAGGCCCGTAAGCAACACTGGCATGCGGCTGCATCCGTGAAGGCACAGGTGGCAGGGTGCGGGGCTCAGACTGGCGCCCCAGCAGCAGGGTGCCTCGATCTGCTGGCTGACTCCGAGTCTCCACCTCCTGCCTTACCGTAAAAACAGATGATCCCCCTCCTCTCCGGGGAGGCTGGGAGCTGCCAGGTCACCCCTGACTCGGGGGGCTTGTTATTAACCCCCAGCCAGGCTACAAGAGACTCTAGTCACTCCTGCTGAAAGGGCAAGAGGCTCCCCATTTTCCTGGCCAACCTGCTCCTGAGACAGGTCGCCCCAAGCCCACAGGCCGCGAGAGTGAGGCTGGTCATGTCACGGTGACAAGGTACCTGCGCAGGCATTTAATGAATAGCTGTGAGGCGAAAGTCATTCCCAAGCCTGGTGGCCATTACCTACCCACTGAGAGTCTCTCTGTCACTTCACATTAAAACAAGCGCCGTGCACTAACCATCCCTTAAGGGCCCAGGCTAAAGGTCAGGACTGACTCCTAACTAATGTCAAGAAACCAGACTAAGGCTGCCAAGACGTCCTTGACACACTAATGAAGCTTGAACTCAGCATCTGAGAGCCATTCTAAACCCCCACAGGGACTGGTCTTCTGGACCCCCAGCGCTGCCTATTGCCACTTCCCTCTGTCCATCTGGCTGCACCACTCTGGGGCACTGGGCTTCCCTTAGCTGCATTCCTGTTAAACTCACTGGCGACTGGACACTCGCCGGGTGCACGGAATGGATCTATGTCACGGCCAGATCTGGGCTCCCCTGACCCTGGCGCCTCCCTGGGCACCGAGGGAAGACGGTCTGGATGCGAGCCTGAGCTTGCCGGTTAGTGCAGGATTCTGGACAAACCGTCAGACCTGAGTCTCAGCGCCTCCTCATCTGTAAACTAGTGCTGCCGCCTCCCAAAGCTACGGTGGGGCCTACATCAAAGGAAAGCCTGGGAGCACTGTAAACCAGAGAAGGCGGCCCAGATACTAGCTCAGAAGCGGAATGACCGCTCTCTAATAAATGCAGTTAAAATAAAGATGCTCCGCCATGTGCTCTTTCTGACCCAGTGAACCTCTGGGAAGGAGGAAGGCAGGCTCTGGCGAGGGCGTTCAGGGGCTCACAGCACAGAGAGAAACAAACAGCACCCCCACCATTGGTGAAGGCCAGGCTGCAGAGGGAGGCCAGCACTGGCGGCCCGAGTGCTGGACCGAGCCAGGCACGGCAGGCAGTGAGCGGCGCCACGGGCTCCACGGTCATTACATGAACCGGGAGACACGACGGACATGTGCACGTGTGAATACTAACCAACGGGGTATGTGCCACTTCCAGCTCCGATGGCAGAGACTGTTGGATGGCACAGCCCACGGCAGCCCGGGGCCGACGGCATGCCCTCCGCAGCCCTCACTCCCCCCAAGGCTTGCAGAGTTTTCATAGCTGCCAGGCATGTCCTCCCAGGAGGCTCCCAGACCCAAATCCCCTTCACCCAATGTGCTCCTGCTCCGCCTGCCCCCTGCAGGTGCCCCTCCACCCCCTCCTGCTGCTCACACCTCACAGAGTCACTCCTGAGGCCCTGGAGTCCTCGACTGAGACCTCTCCATGCTGTCCTCCCATACTACCCTTGCAGGGCCTGAGGCCAGGCCTTGACCTGGGCCTCCCAGACAGCCCGTACCAGGGGCCCAGAACCCCAGCTGGTACCAGAGCTATTCTACCTTCTCCACTCTGCTGTGAGTACTGTCTTAAAACACACATGGACCTGACAGCCTCCAATTTGCTGTCTTCTCAGTGGCCGTCCCTTCCTGCATACCACACTCCACCCATACCAGCGGTACTCCCGCACCTCCAGCTAGGCTTCTTCCCTGCCTGCCCTTCTGGCCTCAGCTACCACCCAGCTGGGCCCACTTGGGACCACTGGGCCCAGAGACCCTCCTACCCTCCTGCAAGCTGACCCTTTCACGGGGTCTGCCCTCCCCAACCTTCCCCACCTGGGCAGCTTCCTGAAGATCCCCCCCATAGGTGATTCCCCCAGGATTCACAGAGATCTTGAACAGGCCTTGGTAAAGGCCAGTCCTGCTTTTATGCATTTCCATGCCTTTCCCCACCTTTCCCCACATTAGGCTAAGGGCAGGCTCCAGTCCTCACTCATCTCTGCGTCCCTGGGGCCTGACAATGCCACCACCCAGAAGCCTCCCGGTAAGTGCCTGGTATAGTGAAAGAATGTATTGTTCTCAATGATGAGAAATCCAATTGATGAACCGATGACCTAACACAGGCCTCCTTACCTTCACACTCTGACGCAGGAAAGAGAGGAGAGTACAAGGCTTTTTCCCACCAGGTTTGCTTTTCTTGGCTCCTATTCATTCCTTGAACATCAGTGTTCAATACGGGAAACTGTTTAGGTTAAACAAATATGAAAAAAAGTTTACAAACTTTCAGGATAAAGGAGAAAATTCAAACATTATTAACTAGAAACGACAAATCCAGGATTTTTAAACTGATGAATTTCATTTTTAATATTGTTCTAGACAAGGTGAATTTATTTATTTATTTTTTTAGATGTTACTTTTAAGTAATCTCTCTACCCAATGTGGGTTTCAAACTCACAACCCTGAGATCAAGAGTCACATCCTCCACTGACTGAGCCAGCTGGGTGCTCCAAGGAGGTAAATTCAAAAGGCCTCAGGGTTGGGGCACCTGGGAGGCTCAGGTCACAATCCCAGAGTCCCAGGATTAAGCCCCGCACTGGGCTCCCTGCTCAGCGGGGAGTCTACTTCTCCCTCTGCCCCTACCCCATACTCATGCTCTCTCTCTCTCTCTCTCAAAAAAAAAATTAAAAAAAAAAAAAAAAAAGTGTTCATAACATATCAAGGAAGTTTTTCTTAAGAAAGACTTATGGTGGAAGTGAGAATGAAGATCTCTTTAAAAAACAGGACAAGGGAAGCCTGGGTGGCTCAGTGGGCTAAAGCCTCTGCCTTCAGCTCAGGTCGATCCCAGGGTCCTGGAATTGAGCCCTGCATCAGGCTCTCTGCTCGGCGGGGAGCCTGCTTCCTCCTCTCTGCCCACCTGTGATCTCTGTCCAATAAATAAATAAAATCTTAAAAAAAAAAAAAAAAGTAAAAAAAAACCCCAGACATGACAAAACCCTTCCAAGGCAAAATATCCCCAATTAATATCCAAGACAAGGCAAATTTCTAGATTTGTGAAATGCAGAGAAATAAAAGGGCGGCCCTAAGTGTCCACTGGTATGAGACACTCCAGGGAAGAGAGAGGACCCACTTCTTCACACACTCGGCAGGAAGGAGTCAAAGATGACAGCACGGGATGAAAGAAACTGAAGAGAGAGAATTACCAACTTCCATGGCTTTTTAACTCCATTATGTGCTTTGCTGAGAACCAGAGGACGCTGGGACTCAAGCCAAAGAAGGCCTGTGGACCCCGTCTGCGCCCCCTGCTTCAGAAGACATTCTCACCATGTGTTCAAGCTTAAAACCTGAGTGCTCTTAGCAAACAATGACTGTCAGTCCTCTGACAGGACTCTGCTTTTCTCTTACATGTGAACTGTCTTACGGGTAAAAGACTTTTTGATTCAATGAGTTTATTATTTAACTAATAGGAAACACCTCAAACCTTTATTTTTTCTCACTTCACATAATTTTGCAGAAAGAAATATTCTTTTTTTTTTTTAAAGATTTTATTTATTTATTTGACAGACAGAGATCACAAGTAGGCAGAGAAGCAGGCAGAGAGAGAGGGGGAAGCAGGCTCCCCGCTGTGCAGAGAGCCTGATGCGGGGCTTGATCCCAGGACCCTGAGATCATGACCTGAGCCGAAGGCAGAGGCTTTAACCCACTGAGCCACCCAGGCGCCCCAGAAAGAAATATTCTTAAGTGAGACACTGAAGGAAAACAGTACCGTGTACCCAGCGTGGCCAGTTAACTTCACTGCGTTCTCCCCCAGCTTCCTCCAACAACAGTAGTCAGCACCCCTCTGTTACGTACGCAGGACAAGACTCAGCTTCATGCAAACAAAGCCACAACAGCCAAGGTCTATGGCTAGTTCATGGACATTAACTGCATTTGGCATATAATTCACAAAACCCCTAGACCTTTCCAGAAAGGCCTTCTCTCCAAGGCGCACCTACTCTCACTATCTGGGAGGAGCAAGAGGGCTCCCTGGACAGAAGAGCTGCCCTCCTCCCCAAGGCACCACTGCAGGCAGACGGATTTGGAGGCAGCAAGTTTCCACCTGCAGAAGAAAATGTCCCCAGCAGCTGTGCAACGATTAGCATTTACTCGTGCGACCCCGTCCCAAGACCGTGGGAGTCGGGGCAAGGGTAAGCAAGGGAGGGAGAGAGAACTCATCGCAGGGTATGGGAGACGGCTGGGAGAGCAGGCCGGAGAGGTCAGCATGAACGAGAGGAGGCTAGACAAGAGTAGAGTGGGAAAGGCAGGAAGCCCGTTAGGGCAGAGCCCATGCCTTGATTGTCCGTGTGTCTCCAGCACAGGGCCTGCACAAAGTGGATGCTCGAGTCCGCTAGCCTGAAGGAAAGGCTCTCCCCCAACGCAGGTCCCCCATTATGTGGCCCACCGTCCCCCACCCCCCTTCCCCTGACCTGTTCAAGTCATGCCAGTTTCTGCTCTAGTTTTAGGAAATTTTCTGCATCCTCCCCTTGAAAGTCAGTTCCCAAGGCAGAGTTCTCTGTCCTGTTCTGTGCTACACTGAGTAACCCCCTGATGAACATGCATCATCTTAGGACATCGTTGCACAGCAGCAATGACCATGCTTTGCTTAAATAGCCTCTTCTGGATGCACGATTCCGTTTCTGGCTGACAGGGAATGGAGGGAAGGAAACCAGACGAGGCCACAGCCGTGGGCGGGCTGGGCTCCACTGTCCCTGTGCCGCTCTTCCTCTCCCCCGACAGCTGCTTGGCTCCCTTTCTCACCTGCCAGCCTGTCTTCAGACAGCACCTTCACCGAGAAGGCAGCCCCGAGCTCCAGCTTCTTGTGCCCAGTCCTCCAGGCGCCCCACTGCGCTGCAGCCCTGAGCCAGCTCTCCGCCCTCTCCAGACGCGGGCACACCGGCGCACTGAGTGACAGGCCACGGGCTGTCGCTGAATGTGACCCAGCCAGGGCAGTGCTCTGTGCTGGTCCCCCACACCCAGGCCAGCACTCAGACAGGGCGTGCTCCCCAAAAATACTCAATGATGAATGAAACCGTGAAGTAACAGAGAAGACAATTTAAGCCAGAAAGCCTGACCAGTAATGTTTTCTAGCAAAGACAGGATACTAGAAAGTCTTTAGAAGCTGGAAGCTGGGTAGGGGGCACCTCCCTGCACTCTTACTAAGCTCCTGGGTCTGGGAAGACAAAAATCCCTGCTGTTCCTCTTTGAGTTCTACTCTGGGAAGAGCACAGAGAAGTGCCCCTCACCCACAGTCCGCTCCCACCCACCTAGGTCACAAAAGGAAAAGCCAGCCCATGTAGATGAAGAGCTGCAGAGGGCCACTGAGACCAATGAGAGATGCTGCGTGGCAAAGCAGAGCAAAGAACTCAGGCTCTGTCCCTGACGGTGGACTCAGGGGCAGGGACTCCACCCCTCTGGGCCTATGTGGACTTCACAGTCCAGGGAGGGGAACAGAAACCCATCACAGAAGGTCACTGTGGGCACTCAGCGGGATAATGGTGCCAGGGCAGAGTGGGCACAGTGCTTGGCATGGGGGGCCAGGTGCCATACCCCAAGGATGGGCCCCCTACCCCCTCCACTCATCAGAGCCTTCTGATGCCACTGCAAATTGTCTGTGGGCAAAACGGCCTTCTCCCCGGGACTGGACTGCAAACTCCGGAGGGCAGCCCAAGCTTTCTGCTGCTCTTCTGTGCTCCTGGACATGTGCCGCTACAGTGGCAACAGGTCAGTGACGAGGAGAACCCTTACACCACAAACTTACGCACAGACATGCGAGACACACTGTGCTGCTCCTCACCTCCCATTTTGTATTTCAGAAGCCAAGAACTGACCGCTGGCAGATGCCCCCTCGCCTTTGCTGATGCTGATCCCTCTGCCTCAAGTGCCCTGCCGCCTCCTCACCCTCCTGCCCCGGGATGCTCGGATGTTTGCAACCCCAGGTGTGAGCCACCCCAGGTGTGCGCCACGAGTGTCCGTCCTTCCATGCTTGCGCTCACACTCATGCTCACTGCTGAGAGGGCTTCCTTGGGCTCCCGAGGCCGCCTGCGGTCACCTCCACCACGCCACCTCCCCTGCTCCCTTCAACTACTTCTACCCAGATGCCCTGAAATGTAAGGAACTGGCTCAATAAACCCTAGTATATCTGTCCATGCAGTGGAACAGGACACAGAAAATCAAAAAGGCTGATTACAATAAAGTGCCATTTCTCTGAGAAGAGAAACAGAAGAGGAAACATATGTGGATGTATCTTTGCCTCTACACACATAAACAGCCTTGGAAAGCCGCGCTGGGACGCAAGCTTGCAGCTGCCACGGGAACGCCCTGTTCGCGGTACACACCCCCTCCCGTAACGTCTGCATTAAAACCAGGTGAATCAATGACCTACTTCAGTTGAAGTAAATGACTACTTCCAAAGCAGTCTTTGTAACTAGACTGACTTCTTCCAGTGTTAGGATGGGGACCTGTTTGTACATGACACCTACCTTAGCGATGAGCATGTAACAGGTATTCAGAAAATGTTTGCTGTACTGACTGAACTAAGTTTTTGAAAAGAATCCATGCTTCTGGACACCAATTCTATCAAAATGCCTACATTTTAAGTTTTCTCTTTTCAAGTAAACCCCACACCTAATGGGGCTTGCGAACTCACGACCCTGCAATCAAGGGTCAAGGCTCTGCCAACTGCACCCGCCAGGCGCCCCTAGAGTTCCTACATTTTGGTCCACTTGCTCTGAGCCAGGTGGCCTTGCACTAGTGACCTTTACCACAGGGCTCCCAGACCGCCCTCTCTCAGGAAAAGGGGGAAGATGACTCTGGTTGGAGCTCGCCCGGACTGCCCAGGCGGTGTGAGAGTGGCAAGGAAGACACCATCGTCACTCTGGTCCCTGCCCGGCCCCCACGCTGTCCCTTCAGCTCAGGCTCTCAGGACGTGAGCCCCACCCAGCTCTACACTGGAGCACCGATGCCCAGAGCCTGGGGCTGACGGGAGCAGGCCGCTGACTGACAACCCCACAACGTCCCTGCGTCCCGTTCTAGCCGCTGAGACCTTCCGAGACAACCTGGAATTCTGGTAACACATAAATCCATCAACACACTAGAAAGTGAAGGAATATGGCACTGGTATGATGCAGAATCTCGCTTCTTCCCTCTTTTTCCTTCTTTCCAATCTGGAACCAGGTGAAATACAAAGGTACACAAAGGAATATTCAAAGCTACAAAGCAGGGACAACAAACAAACAGGTGAAGGCTAACAACACGACTGCTTCCCACTCCTGGCAGCTCAGCTTGTGGGAGGGGGCGGGGAAGGGGAGAGAGGAGGAATTAGGATGCGGGTCAGAAGGGGGGGCGGACTGAAGAGAGCCTCGCTGTCTGGGGAGCAGTTAGCAGCAGCAGAGGTGGGGGGGAACGAGCACCGGGGTGGAGAGGAGAGAGGACATTCAGCTGCTCTCCGGCCACAGGCAGCACGACTTCCAAGCACCTCCGACTGTCTTTTCACTAAGCCGCTCCTGGACAGAGGCCAGGCACTGCTGATCGAGTATGGGCTGAGAAATGGGCAGATCGCTGGGCTTTTCTGTGAAACAGATTAGCACCTTCAGTGACAGTTCCAGCACACTCCATTTAACCTCAAACCACGTCTCAGAAGTCGTCAGAGGGTACAATGACTCCCATTCACAAAACTACCACCATTAGCCTCATTTTAACGTGTGAATTGCAGCGCTTTAGGACGGTACCCTTCGTACACAGCGGGTCTCAGCTCTGTAGGTCCCATAGCGGCTCCTCTGATGCACAGGGACTGGGGGTTTTTACACGTACCACCATCTGTTTGAGGGAACTCCACACAGATGTAACTTATTTTACGTGTAAAACCTAAGTCTTAAACCAATCTGTGTTTCGGGGACTGTGAGATGGGTTGCTACCTCAAAGAGGCCCTCTTTGTCTCTGCTTCCGAAGAGCATGGGGCCTTCCTCAGGGCGAACGGCCACTTTGTGATGCGTCCGCTTCGAAGGCCGGAATGCCAGGGTACTCGGTTTGAAGCACAGTACGTGCGTATTAAGACAGACTCTTACTATCTTATAATTTAAAAATGTCTTTTCTCTGCAGAAGAGGTCTACGGTCTAGCTCCGATTTATAAATATCAAACCCATTTTAAGTCCTGACGTAAAATCATAAGCATGTAAGTTTTAAGACACTGAAGTTAATTTCCCAATAACTTCACCCTATCTCCCACTGCATGATCCAGCTGCTCCTGCATTCGAGTCCAGTTAACAACTTCGATCAAGCACCAGCACACACAGACAACCACCTACCTCTTCCAGCTGTCCCGAAGAAACAGGATTATCTTCGTAAGCAGGAAACTGACAACCTGCTTTGCAACTGCAAAAATTATTAATTTCTTCCTCACATTGTGCCATTATTTTACAATTAGCTTCTGAACTTTCTAAAGCAATTTCCAGAGATTCATTCATGCTACATTCCAAACACTGCTCCTGCTTTCCCACTGGCAGAATCCCAGCTGATTCCTCCTGAGAATCCAGTGATGTCTGAGCACTCTTTTCCATGCCAGATTTTTTTAACCTGGGGAGGAATTTTCCAGACTCCAGCTCTGATTTTCCATAGTAATGGCCTTCTTTCTCGGCATCTTCTTCCAGTGGTTGGAGATCTGCCTGTGGGTCTTCAAATGTATCAACCTGAGAAGGAATGGGAATATTTGCTTCATCTTTCTCAGATTCAAATTCTGACTCACTTCCTCCTCCCGGGGACAGCTCGGATGCAGAAATGGGGCGGAAGTGAGTCCGAGGAGAGATCCGAATCGCCCGGTACTGTGTTCTGTCGACGCCACAGATTCTGGGGTGAAAAACTTCGCTGTCTGAATCAGAGCAGAGGATTGACTTCGGTTTGAAACTAGGGCTGAAAGAGGCAATCCCCTCGGGTTCAAACGAACACTCCACATGAAGAACCTGCGAGAATGGATTGCTTAAGTCAAAGGACGAGAAGGAATATTCCAGCCCAGGATCCTCAACCTGAAAGTTACCACAAGCTCCTAGTAAGTCTTCATGGAAGATAAAAGAAAATCCCTTATTTAATCCATTTTCCCCACTCCTCGGCTGATCACTCTGTTCGAATGACACGAAGGGCTTCCACAGCTGCCTGTGACCGGGAGCGAAGCTGTTTCCTGGGGTCATGAAGACGTCCGTACCAGCTATGGTCACGACGTCGGAAGCCGCACACTGTAACAGGCTTCCCTTGGTGTGACTGGGTGGCACGACCGCCCACTCCCCGTCGCTGCTGAAGGTCTTGAGCTCGCCGTAAACTCCGCCGAGAATGAATGTGTTCTCTTTGTCTGGGGCCACGTCCCAGGGTTTAGAGGGTGTAGTGTAGTCGCCCCCGTCCACCTTCGAGAGCGCCCCGGAAACGAACGCTCTCTTCTCCAGGCTCTCCTTCTGCCCCTCCCACAGACGATACTCGGACCTCTGCACGGCCTTGTGGGGCTCCCGCAGGCTCTCGGCCTCAGCCTCGGCGTCCAGGCAGCAGCAGTAGTTACCGACGTCTGTTGGGAACAACTCCTCGTCAACTCTATCCATGTCCACTGGCGCGGCAGATCCCCCGTCTGCCATCTTTGTCCAAATGTCTTTAATAACCCCTGAGCTGTAGCCGCCACCACGTGGACCGCTCTCGCCACCCCCTCGGGCAGTTTCCATGGTTTTGTGTTCTGTCTTTTGTTCGAGCTGAATACCACAGACAGATTCTAGTTTCGATTTTTTTTTGAAAACTAAGGTAGGAATTTCTCCTAACGTTCTACTGTTTTGCTGGCAAGTTTCATCTTGCAAAAAATCTAGAAGTTCTTCATCTACATAATTTGACGAGACTCTAGGAACTACATAATTAATATCTTCTGCATTAAACTGAGTGGACTCTTCAAACTGAATATTTAACGTCTCGTTGTCTGAACGTGTTTCTTCTGAATGGGACCATGGGCTACAAGTTCTTGTTGAAAGATTAGAACAGTGTTCATTTTCTTCAAAGGCACTATTTTTGGTCCATATTAGCAATCTAGACTGGGTTTTCCCAAGCATATTAGCACTAGAATCCGTATTTTCATTTCCCAAGTTGAGAGTTTCAAACGAAAATGGTAGAACAGAATTACTGCATTGCACTTCAAACACTGAAAAACATGAGTTTATGCCAGATCCTTCATTAATATCTGAAAAGAGCTCCTGATTGCCAGCAAGCAAATGCGGACTGAGTGCTGTGCTGTCCAGGATGGGAGAGAGTCTAACTGGAGAGTCTCCGCCGAAACTCTCTCCGTCGGCATCACCCGAGCTGGATGAACAGCACTCCCAAAACTGAGCCAGGTTGCCCAGGTCTTGCAGGAAGAATCCCTCGGCACCCACAGTGCTGGTGGAATCTGTCCATATTGCACGTTCCCCTTGCAACTCCATTCCATCTAACACTATGCAACATTCTGCCTCAAAATCCGTTTTCTCTTTGCTTTTTTGTCGAATCATATTCAAAATCCGACTTTCTCCTTGCATTGTTTCTGAGGCACCAGGATCCAACATGGATTGATCAATATCCACTTCATAGAAGTGTGTTAATTCTGACAGATGAATATCATCCAGATACTTGTTGTCCCCTGGGAGAGAACAGAACGAGGTCCCAGTGAGGTCAATATCCTCATTGATAACCGCAGGCATTTCTACAAAATGACCATCAATGAAAGTACCTGCTGCGAGGTATGTTTTATGAATATTACTGTTGCTGATACAAAGACCGTGCACAGACTCTGACAACTCTTCCACCGCCTCTGACGTCAGATCACTCGTATCCTGTCGGTTTCGGTACGTGGTCTCCAGTTTGCTTTTTCTGCTCAAAGGAACGAAATACTCAGCAATCGGTTCGGTGTACCACAGTGGTTCCTCTTTATACTCTCGGTCGTTTCTGCTCTCCAGGGACAGATCTCTTCCTTCCGCGCTGCCAGCGTCTCTTCTCCCCGGGTCCTTCAAGGGCCTCTTCCCGCGCCGGCACAGCGGCTTGATGGGGGCTCCCCCACCGCCGCTCCCTGCCACGTGCGTGCCCCTCTCAGCCTTGTCGCCGGTCCTCAGCGAGAGCCTGCTTGGCCCGTTCCGCCCTTTCTTGTTACGAATCTCTCGGGTCTTGTGTCTGACTTTCACACACTTCACGGATGCTTTTAGTTCTCCCTGATGACCACTTGAACTTGAGCCTGCTTCACTCGAGCCAGAAGACCAAGAGCGAGGGCGAAGCTTTCCTTCAGGTTTATGTCGGATCTGCTTTTTGTACAAAGCAGGCTTTTCTTCCATTGTGCCATTACTGAATTTGTTCTCCTTCTCACTCTTACTTCTGCCCTGGATTTTCGTGTGTACGGTGCCTGGCGCTTCACTGCTTCTTTCCTTGCTGACTTCGCCTTCGCTGTTGCAGTCCTTGGGGGAGGATGTGTCTGTGCTAGCTGCTGGGGCTGTGGATGATGAAGAAGGGCTAGAGTAAGAACAGACTTTAGACTTGTTCCACACAGTCATGATTTCCTGCAGGCAAACTGGTTTCTCAGACAGTGGCGGAAATGCTTCATAGTACCTGAAAAACAGAGGACAGAGTTCAAAAGCCAGCATTTAGATGTACAAGATAGAGCAAAACAACATTCCCTCCCAAGTGGGGCGACGGGGTATTTCACTTTAACAGTCAACATTTACGTCATCCACAGACTAAAACTTAAAAAAAAAAACAAAACTGAATAATACAGTAAAATATACTTTTTGTTTAGTCCCGTGTATCAAGCACTTTTATGTTCAGCACTGAGGTTGCCACTAATTTAGAAATATTTAGAAAACAGGGAAGAGGACAGTTCTTATCTTTAAAGTTGTCATTTTAATTAAGGAGTCACAAAGGACAAATGCAATATGGTGGAAAGAACGTCACCTCGAGAAGAAATGCCTGCACTTGCATCTCAGCTCACGTCAGTTACTACACATGTGACTTTCAGCTCATTATCTGATGTGTCGGTCCACATTCTCAGTTGCACACTGATGAGGACAGGACTTACCTCCCGAGACCACTAGGAGCAGGGGAAACAGAAGGAGCTGAGAGCCGAGAGCATGTGCTCTGAAGCCGCGTTCCCCAACTGTGAACCCTGACTCCACCCTGAGCAGCTGTGTGACCTCAGGCCCATGACACAACCTCTCTGTGGCCTGTGAGATACAGGGACTACTACTAGCTGCCTCACAGAGCTGGGAGGAGTGAAGGAATTAATGTACAAGAGGAGCTGGAATATTACGAGGTTGTCGGTCCCCACGTGTTCTCATGAGGCCCTCAGAAAACAGGAGGGATTATGCAGGGCGTTCAAGTGGTCAAAAAAGAAGATGCTGGTGCAGCTGAGAACCCTGAGGACAAGTGGCCCACAGCAGAGCCTGGACGCTCCGGAAATGGAGCTTAGGGCCACTACTCGTGAGGCATGGGCGCCCATGTGCGGACACAAGATCCGAGGAGACCAGTGACTGCAGGAAAAGCCAGGGAGGCTGCTTTTAGAGGGATCGAAAACAAGAACTTGTTTCCAATCTGCCAAGAAGCTGGTAGCTATCGCAGATTTCAGAGCAAGATAGACTGCCAAAGCAAGAACCTGGAGTCAGGTTGCCTACCAAAGGGACTGTCATTCTGGAGGCAACAGTCAAGGTCATACACCAAGTGATAAAAGGCCATGTTTTCAAAGGGCCTATACTTGATTCTCCTTTTCAGCCTCTACCAGAGCTGTCTAACAGACATACATGGTGAGCCTCACATGGAATTCCTAATGTCCTAGAAGTCACATTAAAAGTGTAAGAAAAAAAGGTGAAACTGAATTCAATTAAGTATTTTACTTAACCAAATACATCCATAACATTATTTCAGCATGTAATTGAGATTTAAAAGTATTTTTTTAATATTAACATATAATGTACTATTAGCCCTGGGTTTACACGTCTGTGAATCATCAGGCTTACACACTTCACAGCACTCATCATAGGATATTTAAAAATATTAACGGAGTATTTTACATTCTTTTTTTCTTTTTTTTAACCAAGTCTGTGAAATCTGATGAGAATCTTACACCTAAAGCACATCTCAATTTGTAGTAGCCACATATCAAGTGCTACATAGCCACACGCAGCTTATGGAGACTACGCGGGACAGCGCAGGTCCCTACCAGCCAGGAAAAGCTATGTTCACCTTAAGTTCGAGAAGTTCAGAAGATTCAATAAAACGTATCAGAAGGAAGTTCTGCTTTTAGTGCAGCCAATATTACTAACTATTTACAAAAAAACTGCAAAGAGTATCTTCAGGAAACAAGCTCGACAAGGTCAATGACTTGCCCACATTCCTCTGTAGAAGAAATGTGGTCTCCTTGTATGTAAAACAAGGATGCCCGTATTTTCTCATGGCCGCCTCCAGGCACTGGAGTGACAGCACGCGAATGGACTGTAAATAATAACCTTACTTGTTCCATTCATTCCTCTCACAAGAACGGATTCTGTACTAAGCACAGGACCATTTTATTCACATCTGAATTCCGTGTCAAACACATAGTAAATGCTCAATGAGTGTTTCCTGAATTATCAAATACGGAACCAAATACAAGACAATGAACAAAAACTGTAAACCACGCAGCAGTTATAGTCTGATTTTAACAAATGCACACTTTATTACTGAATACAATCTTACATACATTTCCACTTGATCCTTTGCTGTAGGGGATAATTCTGCCTCTGGAGAGGGAGACCCCTCTAACTTTTTGTGAATCTTCTCTTCTGTTACGAAACAAAAATTCAGAAAGATATGTCGTATATCTAGTTAATAAACACTCCTGTTTTTTTTTTAAGTTTCTCAAGTAACTTTAATCAGAACTTATATAAACTTTATGGCTGAAAAAGAACTCTATACCCATCTGTCTTTCTAATAAAAATCCATTTCTTCACAGCCCCAGACGGAATTCTCCAGCTTAACCACACTAATGGTGGGCTGCGAGGGGACAGCTGTCTGTCTCATCTCTGATTGAGTGCTCCAGAGGCACCAGATTAAAGACTAAAATCCTCTATGTTAATTTTGCCAGATGGAGAGAACATCTGTTGAGATCCTCACAAAATTCTGCACCCATGGATTCTGTATGGACTCATGTTGGACTGACACTACTCCGTAAAGAAAGCCCATTATAATCAGCTCTCTGTTCCAACATCTAGGTAAGCAAGGGCTGTGGAGTCAACTAAAACAAAGGGCCGAGCTCTCAGCTCAGCCCTTGGGAAGCCCTTTAGTTACAAACAAACTCTTCAGCAAGGCTCAAGGCTTGGCAGGCAGCAAAAATGGCCATGAAGAGGACAATGAAACCAAGACCCTTGACCTCAATATGCAGCTCTCATTCCAAGCGCTTGCAGAAAAGTATCCACAAAAAGCTATGAGGCTTCATGCGTCAAAATGACCTTTATGAGCTTCAAGACTGCCTTTCCAAAAAAACCCGAGTCAAGGCAGAAGTTCCTTTCAAACCTGAAATAGAGACAAACACCTCTGGAGGCCTTGATGTCAACAGGCAGATGCCAACAGGGAGGCCAGGGTGGGAAAGAGAAAATATTGCTCCGGGATCCTCGTGCTTCCATGTGAAGGGGAAACAAAACGTGCCCCCCAGCCCCCGCCCCCAACGACGGCATCTGTGAATTAATATACTCCTTTGAGTGGGGATCTATCCACAAGCGACTGCTAAGGATGACCCGGGAGCCCTAACAGCTGAAGGCACAGCGTGATGCTGGCAAGGCGACACACTGAACACAAAGACCAACTTCCTTCTGTCTGTCTCTGGCCGACTCTAGCGCCTCTGGAATCAAACCCCTCGGGGCCCACAGCCCACTGCGTGCGGATGGGCTCTGGAGGCTGCACTCACCTTGCTTGCTCTGAAGGTCCTTCAGTCTGGAGCAGAGCTCCTCCACTAAAGTCTCGATGCCAGAGCTCTGCGTGACAACAAAAATACATGTTACTTCATTGCCAGGCCCTTGGACATGCTTATTTTCATACAAAGGTTTGACTAATCTCCCATGTTCTAAATGAAATATGTTAGTAATATTTAAACTCCACGAGAGGGTTGCCTGGTGGCTCAGTTGTCAAGTATCTGCTTCAGCTCAGGTCATGATCCCAGGGTCCCTGGGATCATCAGGCTCCCTGCTTGGAGAGCCTGCTTCTCCCTCTCCCACTGCCTGCTGCTCCCCCGCTGCTATGCTCTCTGTCAAATAAATAAAATCTTTAAAATAAATAAATAAAGTACATGAGAGCTGAAACACTCCAGGTTTGCTGCTCTGATCGAGCATACATATTTTATTAACTGAGTACAGTCAATGGCTTACTGATACAATGTGCAAACATTAATATGGCTCCCAGGACGGCCGGTCTTCCTGGGGGGTTAGCATCTCACTGCCCGTGCAGCCGACATACCCTCGTACCTATCGCATGGCTAGAAATCAGTCGCCAGCCAGAGTAATAGTCGGTACCTATGTGAGCAAGGTTCTGTACCAGATTCAACACACAGGAGGAAAAATCACAGAAATCTCATGTGGTTCCTCTAGGAGCTTACAGTCTAGAGAAAAGAAGGCCAGTGTTTTCTTTTTTGAAGCGAACACTGGTGACGGCAACAGAAAGAGCAGTGCACAGCATTCAGAGCCGTGCATGAGCGTGAAAGCTTTGTGTTCTCTGAAAGGTCATGAACAGGGTATTAGGCTCCACACGGGGTGGGGGGTGGGCAGCTGAGGACACCACGCGCAAGAGCCTGAAATGGGGAGGATAACCAAAAGAGCCAAAGTTGAAAGAAAAATGAATACTGGAAACAGGCACGAACAAATAATCTTCCACTATGTGGACTTTCCAACTTCAACAATTTTCCCTTTCTCAAGGAAGAAAGAAAATTCCTTCACAGGGTACGAGAGGAGCAAACGCGTTTCTGAGGCCCTTTATTCAGTGGTCAAAGTCGTGTTTAAACTGGAAGTGAGTCTGTCTGAGGTGGGCCGACCCGGACAGGTGCCCGTGACTCTGCTCAAGCGGCTGCCCTCCTGGGGCCTGGAGGGTCTAAAAATAGAACTTTTCCCCATTCACTCAACTCAAAATGACTCAGCACAAGTCTCAGAGATATCCTAAACAAGAAAGCGCATAGCTCCAATTTGAACAGCAAGAAACAGAGCACAGAGGGAATGGTTAACGGTAGACACGGACAGTTACATCCTATCCACGGCAGACCACAGCTTTTAGCGGGGAGACAGGCCAGAGGGTGACAGGGAAACGGGCCACAGAAGAGCCATCCTGCCCTTAAAACCACTCAGAAACCCCGTAGCAAATGTTAGTCACAGACCCTGCTCGGCCGCCACAATCCCATCAGAAAGCCTCGGCTTACCATAGCGCGCAAGGTGTGCTCAACGTGGCTGTTTTATTGCATTCCCTCCCGACTACGAACCTAGCCCGGCGTCAGCTGACACGCCACCTGCTGCACGCTGCTGAGTACAGCAAGCCTATGTCACCGTGTTTCTAAACCTGGCGCCAGGCTCTGGCGAGGAAGGCAGAGCCTCCAGGGATCGCCTGCTCAGCCCTGTTTGGGGCCCTGCGGTGCCTGCCAGCTGTTCCACAGTGTCTGGGGAAAATCATGAGAACCAAGGGATGAGATACTATGTTTCATGCTTTGTCTGGGAAATTGCATCCACACATCTCTCCAGCTGAGCTGTTTCTGGGCCGTAATGCAGTGTGGAAGTAGATCTATTTGCTCTTGTATATGAAGGGCAAAAAATACAGTGAGCTTACTTCTTAACTCTGCACAGAAAGGCCAGCTCTCCCCACCAGGGCTTCCGCCTTTCTTCCTGGACTCCTGCAGCAGCCTACTTAGATTACACATAATCATTTGACCGCGGGGCTATAACTGTGAACTGAGACACAAAAAGGGGTACCCAAAGTAGCACTGTACCCGGTCATCTCCCAGCAGGCATTCTGCTGCGTTAATCTGGTGCTGTGAATGAGAAATGCCATTTACTTTCCCAATTATGATATAAATCATTAGATATTTTAATATTTCCATAGTACAGCATATCCTGAAGACAATCAAGAATACAGAGAGTCTACCGGATCTTTTTAATTTTTTTAAAGTTTTATTTATTTGATAGAGAGAGAGAGCAAGCGCGCACAAGTAGGCAGAGAGGCAGGCGGGGGGCGGGGGGGTGGGAAACAGGCTCCCTGCTGAGCAGACAGCCCGATGTGGGACTCGATCCCAGGACCCTGAGATCATGACCTGAGTCACAGGCAGAGGCTTAACCCACTGAGCCACCCAGGCGCCCCGAGCCTACCGGATCTTAAGAAATAAAGTAAATCAGGGGCATCTGGGTTGCTCAGTCAGTTAAGCAACTGACTCTTGGTTTTGGCTCGGGTCGTGTCTCAGGATCGTGAGATTGAGCCCCGCGTTTGCTTGTCCCTCTCCTTCTGCTCCTTTCTCTCTCCCAAATAAATAAATAAATAAATAAATAAATAAATAAAATCTTAAAAGAAAAAAGGGAATAAAGCAACAGCGACACCTGTAAGGAACAACATGCTGCAGGTGAAAACACTGTTACCGTTCTAGCACTGAATTCATGAACTGCTTTTTCAAGCAGTATCACCTAACGGTCACTGCCCAGCGTCAAACGAACACGTAAAAATGCCGCACCCCCCCCCCCCCCCCCCCAAAAACAAGAGCATGCCAAGCCGCAAGCAACTGTCCTCCAAATCCGGACCCAGGGGAGCACACACGAAGACTGGCTCGTGCTGCGTGCACAGGCACCCACGGGGTTAGCACTGGCTTGGTCAGCAGACGGTCATGAGCACGGGTCCAGGCGTGACCCCGGGAGAGACAGGGCCCTGTCCTCCCAGAGCGGACACAGGAACAGTGCCTGCCACTCAGACAAGATGGCTGAGTAGCATGTATTTGGCCCTGGGGTCCCAGGGGCCGGGTCTGAATTCCCACCCTGCCTCGTACCCACTGGGTGGCAGGGTGGGTGCCGTTCTACCTGGGAAGCCGAGGACACTACACCTTCCCCTCGAGGCCCGCGAGGGCGAATTAGGAGGACGTGCCTGTCAGGCATCAATGTTGGTGCCATTTCTAGACTTTGTGTATGCTTTCCATTTTCCAAAATCTCATTGATGGATTGGATTCACTGCTTCTAAAATGCCTTTATATTTTGCTCTGCTTTGAGTTGGACGTTGGAGGAGTAAGAAAGATAATTAACCTGACCCAGGTCACCCCAAGTTCCCTGGATTCTGCCAGAATCCAGGGCCCCGGCACGGCCACATTCCCTCGCCAAGCCCATAGGTAGAGCAGCAGACACAGCCACGCCCCTGGAGTCCAAGCCACAGTCGAATGCAGCAGCTACTGTCCTACTGCTTCTGAGGAATTCTTTTATGTGCTCTCTTCCCACAACATGCTCAATCCTTCTCCATCCTCTCCACACTGCACATCCTTCTCAAAATGAGGAAAACAAAGGCAATCACACTCAGTCCATTATCTCTCCTCTCCACATTCAAAGCTTTCTATCGCTATCTCTCCATCTCAAAGCTTCATCTTCTATGGAGAGATCATTTGAACCGGATACTCCCTAACTGCTGGGCATGCACTCCCACCCCAACCCTGGGGTCACTAACCAAAAGGACACACAAGTGTTCCATTCACACGCAGGACCGCATGAGTCAAAAAGACCTGGTCTGCATGTCATCCCAGGGCTCACCACGTGACCGTGGCTTTCCGCACCGGGAAAATGATGACACCAGGGCTGATGTACGTCCTGTAGGCTGTTACTCCATTTCCTACACCAGCCCCAACTTCTCTCCTGCCCACCACTCCCACAGTGCTCCTGTGCTACTTACTGGGGGGTGTCCCTCCTCTCTTCCTGCCAACCCTTCAACTGAGCGTCTTCATTTCTGTTACATGTTTAGAACTGAAGACATTATTTTGTCCCCTGAATGTCTCTTCTTCACAGCACCGCTGACCTGCAGCACCACGGCAGCTGGACAGAAGAAAGGGACAGGATTCATTCACCCGTCAATTTGTTGACTTTTACTCTGCAATTTCCATTAAGGTATTTCATCTCATCTTGGGTGCCTGGTGTCCTGCCTGGTTCCATCACTCCAGAAAGTACCTATCAGGACTGGGAAAGCCTAGCACTTTGGGGACCCCAATGAGCCACATCTCCTGGCACCCCGCCCACCAGAGGTTCTGCCCACAGTGAGACACCAGCAGGTGTGATGCATGGGCTCCTGAAATGCTACCTCCTGGGTTCCACCTGCCTGTACAGAGGCCTGTACTAGCCACACAGAGGTCACAGCTAGTGATCCCCGCAGAAACACGAGACAAGTGAGGAGAGCAATCTTGGATCTTCCAGTCCCAGCTGCCATATGATTTCAAGAGCATAAGACCCCACACAAGACCAGCAACAGAACCTCCCAGCTGAGCCCTAGCTGACCCACACTGCTGTGAGGAAGTGAAAACAGCTATCAGTGTAAGTCATTAAGCTTTGGAGTACTTGGTCAGGCACCAATAACCAAGGTACACACTTCCAAATACCCATACCCTGCACATGGACAGAACTCGTTTATAATTTTTCAGATCTCAGATTTTTATTTTTTATTTTTTTAAAGATATTATTTACTTATTAGACAGAGAGAGACATAGCGAGAGAGGGAATGGGAGAGGGAGAAGCAGGCTTCCCGCAGAGCAGGGAGCCCAGTATGGGGCTCAATCCCAAGATGCTGGGATCACGACCTGAGCCGAAGGCAGAGGCTTAACCCACTGAGCCACCCAGGTGGCCACCCCCCCCCCTTATTTTAGAGAGACAGTGAGAGAGTGCACTCACAAGCTAGGGGGTTGGGGGGGTGGGGAGAGGGAGAATCTTTTTTTTTTTTTTTGAGAGGGAGAATCTTAAACAGGTTCCATGCCCAGAGCAGAGCCAGCCCCATGAAGGCCTCAGTCTCACAGCCCTGAGATCACAACCTGAGCTGAAAACAAGAGTTGGACGCTTAACTGACTGAGCCACCCAGGCACCCCTCAGACTTGGAATTTCTAAAGCAGAATTGTAAGATGAGTGGCAGGAAACCTACTGATGATGATAAACTGTAAAGAATCACTTCCATTTTAAATTGCCTTTTTAAAATGCAGAACTAAGTTAACGTTAAGCCAGTAAACAAAAGGGTACCAAGTGAGACAACAGAGAATCGATACCAGGGTTCCCAGGCTCATGCCTCAGTGGCCAGGGAAGGAACAGAAACACGTGCCATGGCTAGCTGTGATGCAGTAGGAAGTGGAGGATGGGGCACGCGCTATGCAGACAGAACAGACATCTTGGCCTACAGCCATTCAAAGATTTAGGGGAAAAAAACCAAAAAACAAAAACCCAAACAAAAAGTTGTTTCTGCCAAGGCACCTGCACAAGGGCCGCGACTCCCATCCTTGACCACCGGAAGAGCTACAAGAAGCCACCCCGGGGCTGCTTCCAGCTCGTTACACCTGCTCTCCAGAATACGGTAGAGGGGAGCAGAGAAATACCCACTGGGTACTACCAAATGCCTACCACATGCCAGGGAGGACAAGACCCACATCTTCATAGAAAGATGGACAAAAAGCACTTACAATTTGTCCTAAGAAGTAGAGGATGGCAGCGTCTGTTACAAGTAACGATCAAATAAGGTGATTCACAAAGGCTTCAAAAAAGGTAACTCCACTCTGCCTCATCTGTGGCTGGGGGCGGGGGGGGGGCAAGAGCCCCCTCAAGCACCCAGTCGGATTCACGACTCACGCCACCACCCTCACAGGTCGCCTGCTGGCCCTCCCGCCCCCTACCCTGCCACAGATTTATAGCAGTTCCCATTTCTTCCCTTTCCCATACCCTCACTTCTCGACATTTGATATTCAGGACTCTCTTGTAAAAAACACAATTTCCTACCTTTTCCAAAGAGAGATCAGAAGACCTAGCCCTGTCAGGCCCGCACCTGCCACAGTCACAACCAGTGACTGTGGAGACAAGCCTGTGCCTGGCAGGCCTCATGCTCTCTACTGTCCTACTCACTCAGCTTCCTCCTTGGCCCTAGAGACATGAGCTCTCCGGGTCTGGGCGAGACACACAGACAAGCCATCGGTCTGTTACTCCACCTCCCTCCAAACCATGCAGCAGCAGCGGCAACCCCCTCACACCCAACTGTCCTTTCCCAGTCTCCACGTGGCCTTCTTCCCACCAAGCTCACGTTCAAAGCTCTATTCATACCTCCACCCACAGATTTGTGTCTTTTCCCTAATTTCCTGTCCTCAGAAATGAAAATCGCATTTTTTTTTTTTTGAAGATTTATTTGAGGGGCACCTGGGTGGCTCAGATGGTGAAGCACCTACCTCCAGCTCAGATCATAAACTCGGGGTCCTGGGATCAAGGCCAGCGGTCAGGCTCCCTGCTCAGCAGGGAGACTGCCTCTCCCTCTCCCTCTGACGCTCTCCCTGCTTGTGTGCTCTCTGGCAAATACATAAAATCTTTAAAATAAAAAGATCTGAGAGAGTGAGCACGTGAGCAGGGGGAGTGGCAGAGGGAGAGGAGCCCCAGCAGACTCCCTGCTGAGCGCAGAGTCCCATGAAGGGCTTGATGTCCCAACCCTGAGATCATGGCCTGACCTGAAATCAAGAGTCAGATGCTCAAGCGACTGAACCTCCCAGCCAGGCATCCCTGAAAACTGTATTCTTGCAGTGGCTCAGACCGAACACCATAGCTATCCTCCCCAATGCCTCCCTTTTCTCCACCCCAAATCGAGTCCTGTCAGCTCTACCTTCAAAATACATTTAGAATCCCACTAATTCTTGTGGTCCTCTCCCTTCCAGACGGCCACTTTCTCAGAGTCGGCCCCCTGTCAGTGCAGCAGTCCACAGGGTCCTAGCAGCAGAGACGTCAGGTTACACTAGCCTCTGCTCCAGACTCACCAACACTTCACCACTTCCCAGAAGAAAAGCCAAAATCCTCCCAAAGGCCTACAGGTATCCTTGAATGCCTCCCCTCCACGGAACCCGGGGTAAGGCAGAGGCCGCGTGGGCGGGGCCGGGGCCAGTTGTGACAGCACAGCCACCGGGAGCGCACTCAGCTTTAGAGACCACTGACCAGCTTCTCGGGGGTCTGGCCTACAGACTCAGCACAGCCTCACCGCTTGCAATGTTCAGAACCCCCCTAAGTGTTACTTATCACTGTTTTGATGCTATTATCATCCAGAATGAGTTACGGTCAAAAGTCAGCATGCAAAGACACAATCAATATATACTGTCAAAGCTGACTTCCACAGTAGACCACCAGGGAAAACAGCTTTGGTACATGTGGCCCTAGACAGCACGGAAACACCACCAACTCAGATACGAGGCTGCGCAACGAGCTTTTGCTGGGGGGCTGCAGGCACTGCGGGCACATGAGCCATGGCCACAAGCCCCTGTGAGGCTCCGTGACAGCCTCAGGCCAGGCGACTGCCCAGGCTGATCAGCAGCTCTACTTCCCAAACTTCACCAAGTTATCACCTTGAGCCTAACTCACTCCCCAGACAGGGGTCCGGTGCGGTGCCTCGCCTTCCACGAACGCCCAAACTGGGCAACGACACACCAGCTGCGGAGCAGCTTTCAGTAGCCCCATTAGAATAAGCAGAAATATCACTCATTAAAATTAAAATGAAAAACAAAAACAAAAACAAACAAAAAAAACCCCCAAACAATATAAAAAGCTCCAATTCTGGGGACTGAGAAAACAGAACCAAGGAAACTTGAGGATTCCAAAATACAAGTCGGCAAACTCCAACACTAAAACAGGACAAGACAAGGTCTGGATATAGGGGACATCAGGCACACGCCCCGTCCTCGGATGACAGAAACCACTCAGGAGAGCATCCCTTGATGAAACTAGCCACCTGCAGGGCATGGGGGCCATGCCTGGCACAACCCAAGCAGAGCGAAAGCAAACATGCTGGAGCAGACAGGTGCCTGGGGAAGTGGGGTCACTCGTGGGTGCAAATGAAGGCCATCCACAAGGGCAGCTTGGGTCGGGCCTCACCAACAGCAAAGCCCACAAGGGTCACAAACTCCTCGGGGGTGTGTGTCTGTATGTGTGTGTCTTGATACCAACTGCCCAGAGTCTTCGCGGGGGTTGCGAAACTTTATTCAATGTCTAACATGAAATTTGACATAGCGGAATTTCCTACTGTTTCGGTGACATCTCTTAGACAAAATATTGGGCTGAGCAGGTCAAAGAGATGTGCTGTGATGTGGGGGCACAACCTGCTACAGGGAGAGAGCGGGAGGAGACACAGCGTCACTTCCCAAGTATATAAAGTGGAGTCAGGGAAGTCCACCATCCTCCTGAAACGACCCAGGGAAGTCTGAGGCTGTGGACGCTTTTACAGAAACAACTAGCCCAGTCCCTGGCACAGTCACACATGCACACACACACGGACATCAGGAGAAAAGAACCCATGCAGAACACGTACCAGCACCCCTACCTACCCACCTAATACAACAGCCTCATTTATGTTGCTGTCATGTAGTTATGTCAGGAACATTTTAACTGGATTGTAGACTTTTGGATTCTGGTCAGCTGGCAGTGACTGGGTGGGAAAGCAAAGCCCAGCACCACGGATGTCACCATCCTCGGTATTTAGGGAATGAACACCATACCCATATGTGAACATTCACTGTGGCCAAAACAGAAAACAAAACTTCTGCATTCTAATTTCCTAGCTAGGACCTCTTTGTACCTTTACTTTTCACTGAAGCTGCCAGACAGATTCTAGAAAGAAAAGCCTAGGGACACAGAGCCTACAGTTTATGAACACCAACAGTGATCTCTTTCTATAGTTACAGGCCATAAGGAAAGAGGGATTTTTTTCCAGTTCTTTCCATGGACTCCCTGAGTCATGCTGAGCCAGCTGGAGCGCTGGCTGAAGGACTCTGTGCTGATGCACACACAGCAGCAGGCACTCCGAGAAAGGCCGTGGGGCTCCAGAATGTCCTACTTCCTCTTCCTCCATTTCCAAGCATGACCGCAGCTCCTGATACATGCCTTGCACATTCACTTACCTGGCTCATTTTCATTTGGTAAGATTAAAAGCCATCATTAGGAAAAAGAAATGCAACAATTTTTTATAAAATGAGAAGAACAAATCGGACGACTTCACTGGGCTTGAAAACAAAAATACCCCCTTTGACTTCCCAGCAAAGGAAAGCATTTTTTCCAAAGCAACAAAGGAAAGAACCACTTTCCTCTGCCTGCACTGTTCCTGCTTCACACCAAATCCTTTCCAGCACACACCACGCTCAGCGAGGATGAACCAGATGTGAGTGCCACAAGGCAAGGGAGTCTTGTGTTAGGCTAGGAGAAGGCACCCGTACTCATCAGCGGAGTACTGTACTCCATGAGGCAGGGGAGTCTTGTTTTAGGCTAGGAGAAGGCACCTGTACTCCTCACTCTTTCACGGTTCACGTTAGGCACCCTGGTTTTCTTTTTCTTTTTTTAAAAAATATTTTATTTATTTATTTGACAGATCACAAGTAGGCGGAGAGGCAGGCAGAGACAAAGGAGGAAGCAGGCTCCCTGCTGAGCAGAGAAGAGAGCCCCATGTGGGGCTCAATCCCAGGACCCTGAGATCATGACCTGAGCCAAAGGCAGAGGCTTAACCCACTGAGCCACTCAGGCGCCCCGCACCCTGGATTTCTACTCCGCTTCCCTTCACCATGAGTCGAAGGCAAGAGTCATTTCTCAGGAACTTTGGTCCAAAGCAGAAATAAGATCCTCTCCCAGACTGAAACTCCTAACTCATATTTTCCTCTTAAGCATGACTCAGCAGCTTTGATTTTACTCAAAGAATTTACCTAAACTAAACTCTCCTTAAAAAAACCACCTGCCGGGAGCCTGGGTGACCAGGAGACCAGTGCCCAGGGAGCTCATGGTGTCAGTCCCCAAAGCACAAAGTCATAAAGGGAAGACAGAAGTGAACAATGGCAGTGGCGGACACGAGGCGTGCACAAGCAGAACAAGACAGTGCCAGGGCTCGGGTCTCAAAGATAGTGCTGGGCGGGGGGAGAACACAGAGCGGAGGCGCCCTGAACAAGCCTGGGGAGCCGTGCGTGCTGTGCGGTGGCCACACAGAAGACCCCTCCACAGATCACCCAAATGCAGCAAACCTGGTTATCTCAACATCAGCCATGAGGCAACTCCTGTAACTGTTTTATCTTCTAATATTACATAAAACATTTTGTCACATCCCTTAGCATCCTGAAAGAAAATGGTTTTAGAATATAATCACCCATTTAAATTAAAAAGTTTCTAGAGGACAGTATCTTTTCACTTCAACTCTGCTTTATAAAAGGTACTTAAACCATACCATCTCAAATAACTGCTAAAAGCAAAATAAAATAATTTTCTAAGTAGTAGGATCTCAGAGAGTATTTCTTATAGTGAGTATTAAAAATTGCATAGTACTGGGGCCCCTGGGTGGCTCAGTGAGTTAAGCATCTGCCTTCAATTCAGGTTATGACCCCAGGGTCCTGGAATTGAGCCCTGCACTGGGCTCCCTGCTCAGCGGGGAGTCTGCTTCTCCCCCTCCCTCTGCCACTACCCCCTGCTTGTGCTCTCTTGCTCACTCTCTCAAATAAATAAAGAAAAAGAAAAGAATTGCATAGTATTAATTAAATGGGTGATCATATCTAAAACCATGTTTTTTCAGGATGTTAAAGGACATGACAAATATTTTATATGAAGTATTAGAAGACTGATATAATAAAATAATCTTATATGGGGTGCCTGGCTGGCTCAGTCAGTACAGCATGTGACTCTTGATCTCAGGGTCATGAGTTCAAGCTCCATGCTGGGCACAGAACTTACGTGAAAAAAAATCTTGTAATATTTTGTAAAAACCAACAAAAAATTATGAATCATAAGCAAATGTAGTGTCCTCAAAATACTAAACTACTATCCCACTTCTAGGAATGGATCCAAAAGAAATAATCTAGAATATGGAAAAAGCCACATATGAAAATGTTCAGGAGAATATAACAGAAAATAAAGAGTGGCTGGCTCAGTCAGGAGAGCATGCGACTCGGATCTCAGGAGTCATGAGACGGAGCACAGAAATTACTTAAAAAAAAAAAAAAAGCAAGCTAAGTAAATATCCACTAATAAAGAGTGTATTATATTGCTGTTGGAATATTATTTGATGAACCAGAACTCAGCCACTACAAAGAATAAAGATAATGTAGTAAAAAGATGGAACATGTTTAATGGTAAAAAAGGATATAGAATTTGGTGTATACTCTAATTGTAACAGTACTTTAAATGAATCTATTTTAATGCAACTTCATTTATGCATTAAAATGTCCTAGAGGAAAGAGTGATACTGTTCACATTACAGCATTAAGATAACGAGTAGTTTATTTTTCTAAGTTTCTTTGGTCAAGATGTTGTAATTGTGTACTTTTAAAAAAACACCCTCCCCCCACCCCAGTCTCTTTTTTCTTCTCTTAAGCATTAGAAATAAAATGTGAACCTACTTCGTCAGAAGCAGAGCGAAGACACTGGACAGCAGCCTGTTTTTTCATTTCTTCTAGAGTCAGGTCTGAGCACTTTTTCTTACTCTTTCCCCATTTCTTGTAAGCTCCTCTTTCCCAGCCCAGGAAGATGTCATTCTCCTAAAATAAGATTAGACAGAGCTCAATGAACAGTGAACTAAGAAGCAAGTTTCAAACACTGTTCCTTCCCACATGCTCAAACACATTCCCTCCCAAGTGCACTCATCGCTAGTAAGTTCAGAGACCACAGACACAGTCAGTCTGAGCGCTTTGGAATAATCATTCGTTTGGTACCTATTACCCAGATTTGCATTATATTATGATTTATCTACGATCTTAAGGAATATGACCCACTGAAATGAAGTGGTAATAAACGCAGACATTTGTTTGTAAATCAAGTACAGTGTAAATAAACTCCAGACTGAATACACAATTAAATGTCTTCTGTACTTCCCACTCTTTGATAATGAGTATATATAACTACAAGATTTTAACATTTAACAGTTAAATGGTTCAATTGTCTAAAAAACAACAGATATAAAATATTTTATGTTGGCATTATAAGTTTATTTTTCCCTTGGTTACACAGGCCCATAATCAAAATCTGAAGAAAATTTGGAAAGTGGGAAGAAAGCAAAATCATCCATGAGACTACCACCCAGTGAGAACTTGAATTATTTGGTCTGCTTCATTTGGCCTTTTCTGTATGCTTTAAAAATCACAGACTTGAATTCATGCTAGTTATAGAATATTGTATTTGACTTAACTGACTAAACCATAAGCATCACCTCAACATTACCACAAATTCTTTGGCTATAGAGTATTTTAAGATGTAAGTTTACAGCTATTTCCCTAAGCTGGGACTTTAAAGTAATATTTTTAATTGCTTTGCTACTTTGTCTCACCCAATTTAAAAATAAGTAAATAAAAAGCCTTCCATTAGATAAATTATGATTAAAACCAGTGGACAGACAATAAGAAAAAAAAAAAGGACCAGAAAGACAATGGCAAAATTTTAAAAATTACTTAGAAGATGACGTGGCCTACAGCAGGCCCTCAGGACATGGCTACGAATATATGTACAAGAGGAGATAAAGATGGAAAAACATAATAAAAAGATTTTAAAAATCAAATCATATACCATCAACTGTGTAACCCAATTTTTACTTTGATTCAATACATAAAAATTACTTTAATGCCACCAGATAAGAGTGTGAGAACAGTCCCTCCCTCTATACCCCTCATCATTAGCATACTTTCCTTAATTTCTTGGGCATGTCTGCAGATCTCATGAACCTGAAAAACATATTTTCTGGCTGAGTGGTGTCAACTCCAGTTTTCCAAGGGAAAATGTGTTTAATGGCCAAGTAAGTACTATCAGTGTATTTCTATTTATCTGACGGGTCTGGCTGGACAACACCTGAAACCTGACATTCCTTATCAGTGATATCTTCTGGTGATCAGGTTTGTCCTCTAAGAGGAGCAGCAGACAGACCCGTAACAACACAGACCCGAAGCTTCCAAACGCAGAAAGAAACGTAGTAATTCTACTGTTCATACTATATAAAACAAAGGAAGTAGAAAAGCTATTTCTGTAATGATGAACACAGGACTCGTTTTTGTGTGAGCTATTGAGCCTGGCTCTTTCTCCTTCTTGAGATTATCAACATGTTTCTGTACTGAAGCTGTATTACAGCTCAGCAGAGGTAACACACATTCAAAGTCCTAACGAAGTTTTATTACACAGAAGGGGCTTTCAAAATTCAGTTCACGTGGTCAGGTGCTCTTTCTGGAGGCAGTCTGACAAAACATCTCAAACATCTTAAACACAGGTGTGTACTTTCAATCTAATAGTTCTATTTCTGAGAATTTATCCTAACAAAATAATCAGCTCTGTGCGCACAGGCTTAGCTGCTGTGGTACTGATCACAATGCTGTCAACCAAGGCAAACAGCCAGAAACCTAAATGCCAAATAAGGAAGACTTGGTTAAATAAGTTATAGTTTATCCAGGCGATAAGATATGTACGACAGCCATTAAGGAGACTACGCAGTGCACTGACAAAGAAAACGATCTGCAATATACTAGGAGAAACAGTCTACACAGCAGTACAACCTCATTTTGTGTGAATGTGCGTGTGTGCACACGTTACCGTGCACTAGAAGGTATCAAGAGAAATGACCTAAGAGGTCACTGAGGAGCTTCTCTCTCAGTGAGCAGGAGAAGCACACTAATATTATTTTCTGATTTTTCTTATAATTAGGTCATACTGTTTAATAGTCAAAAGTTGTTGGGGGGGGGGCGCCTGGGTGGCTCAGTGGGTTAAAGCCGCTGCCTTCGGCTCAGGTCATGATCCCAGGGTCCTGGGATCGAGCCCCGCATCGGGCTCTCTGCACAGCGGGGAGCCTGCTTCCCTTCCTCTCTCTGCCTGACTCTCTGCCTACTTGTGATCTATGTCTGTCAAATAAATAAATCTTTAAAAAAAAAAAAAAGTTGTTGGGGCACCTGGGTGGCTCAGTCATGAAGGGTCTGCCTTCGGCTCAGGTCATGATCCCGAAGTCCTGGGAGCAAGCCCCACATCGGGCTCCCTGCTAGTGGAGGGCCTGCTCTTCCCTCTCCCTCTGGTGCTACCTCCTGCTTGTGATCTCTCACTTGCTCTTGCTCTTTCAAGTAAGTAAAATCTTTTAAATAAAAAAAGTTGTGATATTGTTTTAATAGAAAATTTACGAAGTCAAAAATGGAGAAACTTGGAAGAGCGTCTGCCACTCTTCACCTAGGACAGGTTATCTGGCAGGGGCTTCACGTTTCCTACCTGGCATCCTAGGTCTACCCCTAAATGTGGACTCCCCCATTCATCCAGCAGTGACTTCAGTGTCTGCTCTGGGGCACTAGGGATCATAAGTATGAACACAGCAGAGGCCCTGCCTGCCAGAGGTGCCCAGGCTGGTATGAAATACAAACTCAAAGGCCAACACCTGAGAATGGCTGTTGCCGCTATAAAGGTCTTCAGAACACATTCTTTTTCTTGGCCTGGTTGGCCAGGCTTTTCCCTCTGCCTGCCCCTCTCCCAAACTAGTGCTCTCTCGATCTCTGGTAAGCAAATAAAATATTTTAAAAATATAAGTAAGGAGGTGCACCTGGGTGGCTCAGTTGTTAAGTGGCTGCCTTTGGCTCAGGTCACGATCCCAGGGTCCTGGGATCGAGCCCCGCATCAGGCTCCCTGCTCCGTGGGAAGCCTGCTTCTCCCTCTCCTACTCCCCCTGCTTGTGCTCCCTCTCTTGCTATCTCTGTCAAATAAATAAATAAAATCTTAAATATATATATGTGTGTGTGTGTATGTAAATAATTTTTTTTTTAATCTATTTCTCGCCCCAAAGGAAACCCTATACCATTAGCAGTCCCTTCCCATCACTACTCTACTCTCTCCTAAGTCACTGGGAACTCCTGGCCTGCCGTCTCTATGCATCTGACTATTCTGGCAATTTCATATAAATGGAGTGATATGATCGACCACCTTTTGCGTCTGGCTTCTTTCCCTCAGGGCAAGGTTTTGAAGGCTCATCCTTCGTACAGGCTGTGGCACGTACCAGGGCTCCACTCCCTTTTCTGACTGAGGAATACTCCACCGCGTTTCCTCCATGAACGCGCTAACTAACGAGCATTTGGATCATTTTACCTCCTGGCTATTCTCAACATTCACATACAGGTTTTCGTAAGGACATACAGTTTTCATTCTCCCGATTGGAGACCCAGGAGTAGAACGGTGGGGTCACGTGGCATCTGTGTGTTCAATCCTTTGAAGAACCGACATATGATTTTCAAAGTGGCTCTCATTCACCACCACACCAGCAGCATCTCAGGGTTCTGCCTCCCCCACATCCTGACACTCGCCATTCCCTGGGTTTTTATCTTAGCCGTCTCGGCGAGCAGAAAGTGGTGTCTCATCGTGGTCTTTATGTCCCGAATGACTAACGACTAACAACATGGGGCGCCCTCTCACGGTCTTGCTGTCTTCAGTTCAGGAAAGATACACCAACAGGCCATTCAAGTAGTGGCCTGTTTTAAAAGAATATATTCTGAACAAAAATCTCTCACTAAATACAGGATTTGGGAACATTTTCTCCAATTCTATATATTTTTTTCTTCACTTTCTTGATGATGTCCTTTGGGGCACAGAAGTTTCTTATTGTGATAAAGTCTCATCCACTAGGGTCTTAGGCTGCTTGCTTTTGGTGTCCTGAGAAATCACTGCCTCCAAGTTGTGACAATTCACTCCTACGTTTTCTTCCAAGAGCTTTACAGTTCAGCTTTCACTGATGACTCGGAACCAGTTGGACTTAATACTTGCACGTGGTATGAAGTAGGAGTCCAACTTCCTTTACAGGTGGCTACTCTGCTATCTCGGCAGCTTTCATTGAAAAGACCATTCTTTCCCCTCACGTGGTCTTGTTAGACCATAAACACACAGGTTCATTTCTGAACGCTCAGTTTCATTTCCTACAGCCATCCGTACACCAGGACCAAGTGGCTGTGGTTACCAGAGCCTTGTGCAAGTTTTGAAACTGAGACGTGTAAGTCCTCCAACTTTGTTCTTCAAGATTTCACTGGCTACTCTGAGTCTCTTTAGAGGTCTATATGGATTTTAGGATCAGCTTGCCAAAATCTCGGCAACAGAGGCAGTGGGGACTTTGGCGGGGCTGCGCTGTGTGTGAATCAATGCGTGGGACACCACGGTCTTACCGACATGGAGTCTCCTGGTCGTGAACACGGGAGGTCCTTCCATGTACAAGGTCTTCCTTCGTTTCTCTGAGTGACGTTTTCAGTGTGCAAGTCTTGCACTTCTTTTGTCAGATTTATTCCAAAGTATTTCATCCTTTTTAATACTGCTATAAATGGACTTTTCTTAATTCCATTCCTTAAGGTATTCTCTATACAAGACTGTGGTACCTGTGAACCATCACTTCCAAGCTGGCGGTCTTTTCTTCTCCTTCCCCAGCCGCCCTTGCTAATGCTGATCTATAATAAGACTTGGTGTATTTTGTCTTTGAAAATGTCTTTTCACACAGATACTGCCAAATACTGATATGAACCGCAGGCATGCATTTAACCAAACATGTTAA